AAGAAGAAGAGTGACCAACTTGGGAGAAGATCTCATCTGAGAGACATGAGCACTGTTAGGTGCTATTACTGTGAAAAGTTGGGTCACACGAAGAACGGTTGTCCAGAACTCAAGGAGGACTTGCAGATCCTAAAGGAGAAGAAGGGCAAATCGAAGGAAGCTTCTTTCGCAAATGTGATCACTTATGAAGATGATCTCCTCTGAAGATAAGAGTACTGCTGGACAGAAGATTCTGCAGGATGGGAGTATCGCTGCAGAAATCGCAAATGATGTAGGACTTTGAATTAAGGGGAGATTTGTTGAGTGTTACTTCAAAGTCCCACATCGGTGGGATAGGAAAATTGAGGAGGGATTGGAGCCTATAAATAAAGAGGGGATATAGGCTTCCATCACACAACAATTTTCCTATCCCACCGATGTGGGACTTTGAAGTAACACTCAACACCCACAAAGTAGGCGAGCACGTCATCATTGACATTGATACTCTGGAAGCACAACTCTTTCAGGCACCTAAAACCACCGCCACTTAGGGTGAGTGGATTAGGAAAAACAGAGGTCTCGGGTTCGTTATGCAGATAGTACCTCGCGTCCAAGAAGCTGAAATTTAGCTTTTCCAAACGCTGCGTGGAGCACGCAAACTTAACCCAATCGTCAATGTAACCCTGGTGGCATTTCCTTATATCAAAACGGACCTTGAACTCGGTTATCAATTCCTTGGCTTTGTGAAGTTTCAACACTCGGTTTACACAGTCAACATACTTGGTGGCTTCCCCAGGTATTAAGGCGAAATCTGATGGCAATTTCATGTAATCTCCCATAACATCAAAATCAAGAGTTGGTGTATGCATCCACATCTCTTTCCACCGACTTGACAATACACTCGTACGCGCTGCTTCTTTACAATTCATATACGATAGTATATGAACAAGTATGTCATCTGGTAATTCACTAATTCTATCCTTTTCCTCTTCCTCTCCACTACTCCTCCGGTTTCTCTTCAAACACTTCCTGGGTACAAACAAACCAGATCTGCTTGCGACCCTTTTCCTCATCGTCAAGGTCGAACAATTAAATCGATTGACCACAATTCATCTGTCAGTTTGGAGAAACAAAAATGGAATTGAAGCAAAAAAGGCCTCAACTTTTCTGATTTGTGATGATAATAGTAACAATAATAATTATAATAGCAAAAGTTCAAAGGTCTGGAACAGCAAAAACTACATAAAGCTTCCCACTTTAAACAAAAGTTCATCCATTTATGCTTGCATCTATACATTGCAAGCCCCAAATCATCAAATACTATGCTATATTTCAGTTTTCAATGAAGCTCAAGCTTCAAGATTTGAACTTTTCATCAATTATTACAGCTTTCCGATTCAGGGGCTTGGTTAGGGGAGTCGTAATCTCCAGTTTACCTACTCTCATCTATAAAATGTCCATGTCTATCTGCACTTCCAATACCCAACATTTGGATTAAATAACCAATTTCCATTTATTCAAAAGACCTACTCTTTTCCACTTATAATGCCCTGAGTACACCAAACATATGTGAAAGACCAAATACTAAACACTAAGCTAAAACCAACTACTTCAATTCATTCAAATACCAACATTGGGATTTAATAATCATTTTTCAAGTTTTAGTTATTCCAAAAACCACACAGTTTGCCAATTTTATTAACCTGAATATCATTCTCCATATGTTAAACAAAAAATTGGAAAAAAAAAACCAGAAACAAGGCTACACCATTCAAATATCAACCCAGTTTGAACAGACATTATCACAAACATCACACCTGCATGATTGGATCAATGGGGAATACACCACAAATTACAATTTATCACACTCAATATAAAACACCATGAACTTACTCGTCCTGATGTGCTCTTCACTAAATTTTTTGTCTTTATAATTGGCATCTTGTCAATGAGATAAAGTCATCATCGGCTATTTTTCTCACAGCGGCGCTCTTCTTTAACATCGCTCTCTTCATCAACGGCTTCTAAACTTCAATTGTCTATGACCTAATTCCTAAAATTGGAAAACCAAGATCTATTATGACCTTGAAATCCTTATGCGGTAGAAGTCTGTATATACTTGGAAAGAATTATTGCCTTTTATTTTGTGATTTCCCATACAGAAGCCGAAATTTTATTTTGATAAGGAGTATTAATTTTTACAAAATTCTAATTGTGGAGGCTATTGTAGTCATTTATCCTAAGGAAACGTTGGGTCACATAGCACAAGTAGCTCTATGTTAAGGTCCTATTTAAATAAAATCATGTATGATAAATAAATGAATTGATTTTATTACGGAGTATAATATGTTGTATATTGTATATTTATAATTTTACTAAACTATAGAAAACGGGCCGGTGTGGGTCTACTTGTTTCTAAATATTAAGAACCGGCCCAACTTGTATTGCTAAAGGATCTGCTCTGGCCCGAATTGTTTTTAAAGATAAAATTTTGGACTCGGCCCTAACTCGCCCCGAACCGTGTAGTTTGGCAGGGCCGGCCCTGGGGGTAGGCATAGGGTGCTGCCGCTTAGGGCCTATTTCATTAGGGGGCCCATGATTATTTTTCTCCAATAGTACTAGTAATATATTATTGTAAAAAAATAAGTTCAGGGTTTTAAGCTTTCAATTTTAAGTAAACTAGTGTTTTTACCTGTGCCACGCACGGAGTCAAACGAATTTTTACACAATTTTTTTCTTAAGTAATGATTAAAAAATCGAGCAAAATATAATATCGAACATTAGAATTTTAATGAAAGATATATCATAAACGTTTGCTAAATGGAATTCAACTATATATAAATTGAAAAAAACATGTAAGTGTGTAATTTAAATCTAAATCTTTTGGAACACTTCGTGGTAAACCACATTTTTGGTGAAGTTGCAAGGGTTACCGTTGTGATCTCAAACTAAATTTTCAATCATGCCTTTGTTTTCACTCGTGAAACTACAATATAAAGTTGACCGTGGGTGAATATTGATTTGGTAAAAAATAATCCAACAAATGAGAATGTTTAGCCTTAACTCTTATTGATACTAATGGCAATACTTAAAAATATTGGGAATTGTATTCTTTGAAGCTTAAATGGTCATCTAGGATCACACGATACCAAATTCATTCTTGGTATGTCAACTTTCTCGCCGGCATTGTTTCTTGATACAACAATTATACCGATAACATTTTTTCACAACTCTTCAACAATTAACTTGGTACCATTACACAGCTCGGATGTTTGGTTAATGTTTCTGAATAAACATGATCGATCAGTACTTCGTTCTTCAAAACTATTTTGTGGTGTAGAATTCCAAGACATTTGATATTGTTTACAGACTCCGTCATTGTCCAACCACCATCTATGCCTACATCTGAATCTGCTTGACATGAAGAATAAAAATTCAAAAATTCATTTTTATCACCATGAATAAGAGATAAAATAAATTCATTTATCATTTCAACAACTTTAAGCATGGGTGCTAATAACGCTTTATCCATAAAAAAAGAGTATAATCTTTCATACTTTCTATTAATTCTGGATATGTGAATTCCACTATAGTCTTAAGCAAAGAACTCGAGTTAAGAATCAAGGATTTTAGTAGAATTCCACTATACTCGTATACCAAAGTATAAATTCACATTTGTTATGATTTTTTTTGCTTTTGTTATTTCAAAAATACAATATTTATTTCAACATTTTTCCTAATGGAATCAAAACTAACTTCTTTATAACATATCATAAAAGTACTTGTAGGACATTAATTTATAGGTAAAATAGCATCTAATTCTTTAACTGAAAGTTTTAGTATAATGAAGATAAAAACATTGAACTAGGAAAGAATTTTCTCGTCAAAATGAATATTCCTTGTCCATAATTAAATTTTTCAAATATTTTATATTAAAACATTCATTTTACGTATGTTGTATATGTCCTAAATTAGGTGGCATATTATGTGTCAGAAAAATAAGAAATTTCTTTATAGGTGAGGAAAATATTTTATTTATTAGGTGTGAATATTTATTAATATAACAAAATTGTCTTCATTTAATATTTATTATTTAAAATCATTTTCTATTTAAAAAATATTATAGTAAAGTTATAAAATGATAGACTATAACTGAGGACTTTTTATGGAATTTACTCTTTACTTTTCTATAGAAATGATCTTCTTTCCTTTTTATCCTATTGACTAATTGTTAAAATAAATGCTTGAAATTCTAAATTATTTTTATTTGTTTTTCTTTTAATGCTATTGACTGATTGTTTAAATAAATGCTTGAAATTCTAATTGACATGATTACAACATACCATTTTTTAAAAATATTCATATGCCTAAAAGTTTGTTTTAAATTTTATAATTTATTAAATTCGAGTCGGGTATTAAAAAATGTTCATGTATACTTGTGATAAAATAAAATTTTATTAAAATTTACAAATTCTAGTCATTCTAAATTTGGATTCAAGAATTCAAAAAAAATAATTATCATTTTATTTAAAAATAGAGTAAAAAAGATGAAATAATTGAAGAAGGAAGGAGATGAAATACTAACAAAGAAAATAAATGGTTAAAGATTGTCACATGTCATCCTCTAAATATTAACACATGTCAGTCTCTCAAGTTTGACACATGTCAATCTCTTGGAGACCAAACTCTCAAATTTATACGGAGTATATAAAAGGTACATAAAGTAAAATAATAATATGACACACTCAATCATTTTAATTCATCAAGTGATATTGTTCATTTTAAAAATAATAATAAAAAAAGCCAAATTTTTTAATTGGCCAAAGGCCCTTAAAATGTCAGGATGACCCTATAGTTCGGTTTCCACCCGTAATTCAAGGACCCGTTTGCCCACCCCTAGTAAAATGTTCTTCTAAATTATTATTTACATGATCAAACTTTAATTACTTTCTTTACTTATTTTCGTAAGTTATTTGATAAAATAATATAGTCTTGTCACCTTTTATTTTGTGAAATTTTTTATGTAGTTTTTAAATATATAAGTTTTATTTTTTAATTTTGCACCTATAATTAAATAAATTGAATTGAAAATAAAGTCGGTCAAACCTCGTAAACAGACACAGAAAGATTGTTTTAGGACGAAAAGAATACTTTTTTGTTTGTTCCAACATCCAAGATAAAAAAAAGTTCATTCATTTCAAGTAAATACTAATGAGTTGTGCTAGAGTAATCTCATATTTTTACCACATACTTGATCTCCATAAATAAATATGTGCATGTGTAATCGTATGGTCAAACATGAGGTAAAATTTATGGAATTATCTTGATTTTATTCAATAATGATTGTTCCATGAACTAATAAATTTTATTTTTACTCAAAATTTAACTTAAAACACATGAACTAATTTTAGAGTTCAGTGAGGGGTGAGCAAATACCGAACCGATATCGAAATTTTCTAAAAAAACTGAGAATACCGAACCGAAAAAGTACCAAGAAGAAACTGAATCGTACCGAACCGAATGGTCGGTATGATATTTGGGAACTGAATAATAGTTTTTTAAAAAAAATTGGTTCAAGTTCTATTATGTGTAAATTATAATTTTATCTGAGTTTTAGTTTTTGTGAATGAACATAAAAGTATTCACAAAGATTCGAAATACTCATTTGTTGTCGTTCATTTTTTTTAGTTTGTGAAATATAAACTAAGTTTTGATACGCACCTCTTGCATTTAAATATTCTTTTTTTATTTTTTCATGTTTTTTTATTTAAATTCACCCTTAATTTTCAAAAATAAAGGGACATTGCTAAATTTAAAGGTGTAAAGTAGATATGTATATATTCATCCCGATTTGTACCGAAACTGATATCGAACGTAACCATCCCGAACCATACCAAAATGATATTTCAGGATCAGGATTGGTACGGAGTAAACTCTCATACTGAAGCAAAATATTTGTTACGGTATCGGTACAAGCTAAATATCGTACTATATCGTACCATGCTCATTCCTAGTAAAAATAAAAAGTAGTTTTTATACCAGGGCATATGTTTGAGGAAAAATATTTTAAAGTAAGGTTTAACTTTAGAATAAAACAAAGAGGCCTAAAATCATACTCCGTACACTTCTTTTCTGATCGCTAATTTTTCTGCAATAAAACAAACGTCGCAACTTTCAAGAGATCAAAATTTCAGAGATGTCGGGTTTGTCACGTGTGTGGTTCCTTCACCCAATGGGGGGCTGGTTGGCCCCCTTCTGTGGGGGGTGCCCCATAGGGCATAGGACTCTCCTATCTGTCAAGTTCATCGGCCGCATGTGTCACGTTCCTACTGCCCCTTTTAAAACTAATTCCCAAAAGGATTGTCCCAAATCCCAAGGGCCACGGCCCAATTGCCCACCATTTTTAAACAAGTACCCTAAAACTGGATGTCTCGAACAATGGATTCAAGAGTTTGTTTAGAAAGAGAGACTACGTCTATCCCAAAATTTGTATTCTATTTGTACATCACAAATATACACTAATATTTTAATGATTTACAGTGATACAAAGTGTTGACGCGTTAACAAAACTTTACACTGAGACAAATTTTTGGTGCTCTAACAAAATTTAGCATTACATCAACACAAAAATTGGTGCATCCCTGCGGTGTACAAAATGAAGTACAAATAGCATTATCCCTTTTTTTAATGCTGAAACCAATCAAAAAACCGTTGGCGGAAACTCTTTGTTTTGGTATCAGAATTCTTGGCTTTCATCGTTTTTTTTAAATATAATCTTAAAATTTAGAAAACTAATTCTGGGGAGACTTTCCGTCCATCCCAGAGATCGAAACTCTATAGACAAAACCAGATTACATAAACTGAAGCACACAATCGATGAGACTTGGATTGTGTTGGATTCCACTTGATGGTGTAAATTATCGACCAGTATACCGTTTTTAGCCCGGCTAAAACGATAAATTAGTCTAAAAATACACCAAAATATAAACACGGAGATTTTGACGTGGAAACCCAAATCGGAAGAAAACCACGGGCCTTTTTTGGCGGTACCTTGCCAACGGGGGATTTTTATTAATATCGGGGGTGTGTACACAGTATAAGAGTTCGGCTCGGAAGCCATTAATGGTGGAGCTAGAAGCTCTTGAAGAAGGAAAAATATATAAAACTCTAGAGAGAGAGAGTATAATGGGCAGGGAAGAGAGTGAGTTTTGCCTCATCTTCACATTGGGGGCACCCCTCCTTTTATAGGAGGGAGGGGGAGCATCTTCAGAGGAATATTATCTTATTCCTCTATTTTATTAAACAGGCCTGGTTTGACTGTTCTTCGTAAAATAATTGGGAAATGTGAGCGGAGCCACGTATTATTTCCCATCAATAAGTCCTCCACTTTTTTAAGTTGTGAGAATCATCAACTTAAAAAAGTAAATAAGTCCTCCGAGCGTAATCTTCAGTCTTCGTATTTTGAATTCTTGACTTGTAGATATTATTGCTAGTCCTCCGAGTCTTCATTAAGTCTCTAATTTCTTGAATCAGAAGTTTTTCCTGCAAAAATAATATGTACAACATTTTTTTTGACCGGCCTATGCCGTGCTCAAATAATTAGTATCTTTACCGAGGAGCTCGGTGTTAGAGTGATTAAACTTCGCGCGAATAATTATTGTAACAAGAGCGATGTCAGTTCGATAAAGCAACGATGCTTCGAGTAGTTATACGACACCGGAGTTAGTACGATGAAGCGGCGGTGCTTCAAGTAGTTATCTCGTCGAGACCGATGTTAGTACGAATTAAGTGAGCGATACATGACGAAATTAGTATACAGACGACATTGACTTTAGTTAATAAGAATTGGGTCACTGCAGCAGCTTTGTTGAAGATTGATGCTAGCCTTGCTAATTGATGCAAATACCTTCGTGTCATGTAGAGACCACTTCCGAAGTACCTTGTTCAAAGGGCCAGGAGAATCGAGCGTCCCCGATAAGGGCTCAGCTGAGCCACCGGTGTACCCAATTCGATTGGGGTCAGACTTACGAGAAAATATGTGCAAGACCGGTGTGTATATCATTCTTGGCCTGTCTCGCGCACAAGAATGATATTTACCAGCGTGCCAGGCCGGGCCTGTGTCACATATTTTAATATTTTTTATTATACTGAGCTAGACCGGTGTAGTAACCAGCGTGCCAGGCCGGGCCTGTGTCTCAGTCTTCCTCTTTTTTTTTAATACTGAGCAAGACCGGTGTTGTAACCAGCATACCAAGCTCGGCTTGTGTCTCAGTCTTCCCTCCGAATTCGTCCACAGGGCATGTGTAAATACCCAAATTATTGCTCCATCATGTTTGGTGCAATGTAACATCACTTGTTAGTGGTGGGGCCCATGATAAATAGGTGGGGAGCTTATCTCTTTCTCCCCGTGATGTTCAATGCACTTGCATCAAAATGATCAATTGGTGGGGCTCTTGTGAAACATGTGGGGAGCTTTTTTCTCCTTCCTCCGTAAGGCTCAATGCATAATCAATTAGTGGGACCCCAAAAATAATAAAGAGGTTCCACTTGCCATCCGTTTTTTTTATTCGGACATTTCCTTCGCAGCACCTTCCCCTTTTTTGTTGCCCTGTTCTTGTCGTCTTCTTTGTGTATGTGTCTGTCGACCAGGCTGCGATTCCCGCCGGAAAAAGATGATGCCCGTCCTTGGTCTTACTCTGTCGTCGGAATTGAGTAGTCACGCCGATTGGGTCTCCCCTTGTTGCTTAAGTCTCCTCTGAAGCTTGCCGGAAATAGTGAGGCGACGGAGGAAGGCTGCTGGAGGCTGGTTCGAGCAGCTGGTTCGTCACCGGATGAAGCTTGTTACCGACGATTGGCTGTGCCAGTGGTGGAGAGGCGCGGGTCGGGCCGCGAAATCTGGGTCGCGCACAGCCTCCCTTTCATCCCTCGCTAGTTTTTTGTACTATCAATGTCGATGTCTGGTTGCAATGGAACCATTCGTGACCATGGACCTCCGACATGGCGGTTGTGGCGCCATGCCCAAAGACAACCACCAATTTCAGATCTCTTAACCACGGCAGAATTTAGAAGCCGTAGATCAATGGTAAATAGGAGCGGCGAGGCGCAATGCTGGCAGCGGAATTCCAGGGGCACCAGATGGTTTTCAGCGATGGGAACCAAAAACTCTAACGGCTGCGGCGAGTCTGAGCGGCGACGGTGGCGGCTAATTTGAGCAGCAGTGGCGGCAGTTTTGAGCAGCGACGGCGGTGAGTCTGAGCGGCGACGGTGGCGGCTAATTTGAGCAGCGGTGGCGGCAGTTTTGAGCAGCGACGACGGTGAGTCTGAGCGGCGACGGGGTCGGCTAATTCGAGCTTTGTTGGTGGTGGCAATCACAAGAGTATCTGTGATGGAAGTCGTCGTTTTAACACCGGCGACGGGCTTCTAGTCCTCTCCACCTTCCATTCGGGCGGTGGTCTTCGAGTGGGTTGAAATTCGTTCATGGCGAGTGGGAAAGCAGGTAGGACTTCCCCACTGCGGAGTCGCGGACGATGACGAACTTGAAGAGGTATTCCTCTTCCTCCCCGCCACAGCCGCCATATCGTCTCCATTCATAGTGCTGAATATCACCCACTACTGGTTTCGGCCACAAATCTGCCCTTAGTTCCTTGATTTTTATAAGAACAAGGTGAACTTACATGGAAATCATGACATTTTGCTCGAGGTCCCACGGTCGGCGCCAAAATGATGGTGTAAATTATCGACCGGTATACCGTTTTTAGCCCGGCTAAAACGATAAATTAGTCTAAAAATACACCAAAATATAAACACGGAGATTTTGACGTGGAAACCCAAATCGGGAGAAAACCACGGGCCCTTTTTGGCGGTACCTTGCCAACGGGGGATTTTTATTAATATCGGGGGTGTGTACACAGTATAAGAGTTCGGCTCGGAAGCCATTAATGGTGGAGCTAGAAGCTCTTGAAGAAGGAAAAATATATAAAACTCTAGAGAGAGAGAGTATAATGGGCAGGGAAGAGAGTGAGTTTTGCCTCATCTTCACATTGGGGGCACCCCTCCTTTTATAGGAGGGAGGGGGAGCATCTTCAGAGGAATATTCTCTTATTCCTCTATTTTATTAAACAGGCCT